AATCGATCTGTTAACCTTCCGAAATCCACCCGAGGCCTTCAGGATCTCAACAAAATGCATCAACCAGTCATAAAACATCATTCAAACTTGTTCCCACCTTCGGAACGCTCAAAACAACATCCAAAACACCAATTTTCCATCGGATTCAAGCCTAAGAATTCCAAAAACTCTAAAACACGCTTTTGATAAAAAAGTCTATCAAACCTCATCCGAATGACCTGAAATTTTGCACACACGTCACGTTTAACACTACGGAGCTATTCCAACTTTCGTAATTCCATTCCGACCCTCGGATCAAAATCTCACTATCGAACTGAAAACTTCAAAAATGCGACTTTCGGCATTTCAAGCCTAAATTAGCTACAGACCTCCAAAACACAATCCGAACACACCCCTAAGTCCAAAATTACGATACGGAACTACCAGAATGGCCAAAACTTGGATCCGGATTCGTTTGCTCAAAATGTTGACCGAAGTCAACTCAGTTGAGTTTTAAAGCTCTAAATCATAATTTAATCCATTTTTGTCATACAAAAACCTTCCGGAAAATTATACGGACTGCGCACGCAAGTCGAGGGATTATTGATAGAGCTATTCAAGGTCTTAAAACACCGAGATGATTATTTAATTTAAAGATGACATTTTGGGTTATCACAATAGTAGTACTTATAAATACAGCAGTATGACTCTGATCTTCATCATATTTAAAAGCGATAATACGTTTTTGCATACAATAATTATCATCTATCCAATGACATGTAATTGTCAAAATCATTTCCATTAACCGCATGGCCAATATCAGAAGTTAGAGAAACTCTACAAGGAAGGTGGCTAAACAAATAACGTATGTTTGTTTGATAGTGTCCATGAAATCTAAAGATATTAGATCTACAAGTACTTCTAGGGATACCTTTAAATAAAGGATTATAAATTCTTTGAATATACATAATAAGATATGATGAAGAAGCAAAAGAAGAAGGTAGACAACCGAAAACAATCATTTTTGCTGACTCATCACGATCCTTCACTTTATTATACTTCATAAGTCCTCCAGTAGTAGGGCTTAGAGTTGCTTGATTTTCATCTCCATCAGAGCCTCATTCTATAGGATGCTCAATTCTCATATGTCTACCAAGTGTCCCAGTCCCCCCCTAATTGTCCTTTAGTCTTATGTTTAAAAGTATCATTACAAAGTTTGCATTTAACTCTATCAGTACCTTCTATTTCGTCAAAAAATTTCCAAACCTTACTTTTTATTCTCCGATTAGTAGTCGGGCTACAGGTGGTCTACTACTACCACCACGACCACCACCCCTACTACCAGCTCCAATACTACTAGGTGTAAGTGGTATCTCATCTTCCATTTCTAATTCATTGTCACAACCCAAAATCTAACCATGGTCGTTATGGAGCCTATCGCGTTACAAGGCAAGCCTACTTCCCAAAATATTACTACTAAACCGATTATACGAAATTAATAAAACATTTCAACATTTAAATTTTTCATAAACTAAATCAACTCTAAATATAATATAGAAAAAAAACGGAAACGAGCCCCAAACATCGGGGTGTCACTAAGTCATGAGGGTCTACTATAAACTAAGATATATAAACTGTCTAACTGTGCAAAAGAAGAAATGACAAGAGGAGTAACAAGGTCCTGCGGACACTAGCAGCTACCTTGCAATCTCCACAGATAGCCGGCCTGAACTCAACGATCGCTGCGCTCTAACTCACCTGGATCTGCACATAAAGTACAGGGTGTAGTATGAGTACAACCACCTCAGTAGTAACAGAAATAACTAAGGAACTGAGCAGTAGTGACGAGCCAAGTAAAACAGTCCAATTATTTATTTTCATAATTTACAATAAACATGAATAATCAGGTAAATTCCATAAAACCAACAAATACCACAAAGAAGTTAACAGGTAAATGCAGCAACAACAAAAATAAATGCAACCTCACAGCAATGTCACTCCATCACTCAGCACTCGCACTCAGCACTCAACACATTCAAAACACTCAACACTCCGCGCTCACTGGGGGTGTGTACAGACTCCGGAGGATCTCCCAAAGCCCAAGCGCTAAGCACGGACAACTCACGTGCCATCGTATCAATACCTGGATCCGCACGATCAACTCACGTGCTACGCGGACAACTCACACGCTATGGTATCAATACCTGGACCCGCAGTCAACTCACGTGCTACGCAGACAACTCACGTGCTATGGTATCAATACCTGGACCCGCACGGTCAACTCACGTGCTACGCAGACAACTCACGTGCAACACAACGCAAACCTATCCGAAACTCACCCGAACTTAGTCGAACCTCCGAAACACCCAAAACACTAAATCAACCTCGAATTCAAGCCTAAGAACTTCTAAACTTCCAACTTTCGCCAATTCAAGCCTAATTCTACCACGGACCTCCAAATTACATTCTGGACACATTCCTAAGTCTAAAATCACCCAACGAGGCTAATCGAATCATAAAATCCAAATCCGAATTCATTTACTCATAAGTAAACTTCCGGTTGACTTTTCTAACTTAGCTTTCTAACTAAGAGACTAAGTGTTCGTTTCACTCCAAAACTACTCCAAACCCAAACCTACCAACTCGATACAACTCAACACAGCTGAACAACACATAAATAAGCATAGATGGGGGATATGGGGCTATAACTCTCAGAACGAACAACCGGGTCGTTACATTCATTATCTTCTATACTGAAATTTTCCTGTAATTGTTCATAATCTATATTATTATCAGGTAATGTTTCAGGAATATGTGTAGAGTCATTTAAATTACTAGCAGATGTTGAAGCAGAAGTACTACCTCTTTTTTTTATTTTCCCCATTAGTAACCTTATTACAAACTCTTTTTGCAGCATTAAACATGTTAAAATTGAACTAATAGCAAAACTTAAATATGCAAATAGAATAGTAAATAAGAGAAAGAGTTGGAGGGAGTGCACCGAATTCGGCAATAAATTGAACACTTGATGATTTCACAACTCCAATATTACCACGAAGAAATGTCAATTGTTCAAACTTCAAACTTCAAATATTAAATAATACGATAAGTGAAATTCCAAAAAAAAAAATGAGAGCCAAATACTTAATTGCACTTTAGGTGAAGAATGAGAGAATGATAATTGAAAATGTAAGTTTGAGAAATCAGAGATGAGTGAAGAAATAAAGAAGAGGGGGGTGTATTTGTAGTTTTTCAAAGGGCTAATTAGGTAATTACAAAAAGTGTTTTTTTTTAAAGCCTAAAATGGGCTATTTGTGCAAATCTACCGTTTGGCAACGGCTCCAAGGCCAGAAGACCATTGCCAACGGTCAGAAAAAGGCCCCACTATAAAAAAAATAAAAATAAAATTAAGTAGCGTTATATCGGTCTGGGCCGGTCCGGGCCGGGCCGGTTAACCGGGTCTACAGTAAAAATCGTTGACTGAGTTTGACCGGGCCGATTAACCGGTAGCCCCAGCGTAAACGGACCAACCTCCCTTACCCCATTAATCCAGCCACACCCGGCCCCCTTGTACCGGTCCGGATCGGTTCCGATTTTAACTGGTCTGGTCCAATTACGGTTAAACGCGGCCCGTTAGACACCCTTAGGGGTCGCTTGGTAGGATGCATTAGATAAAATAATGCATGCATTAGCTTTGTGTATTAATAATACCTTGTTTGGTAGACATGTTGAACATATGCATTAGTTATGCAAGCATTAGTTATACATCCTATTTGGTATTATCCTATGCATAACTAATGCATAGAAAACCATGGTATTAGTAATGCAATGGGTTTTAATGCATACATTAGCTTAGTTAAAGATAAAATTACCCTTCAAAATTTATGCTTGATTATTATGCTAGTTATTATATTAATGCAAGTTTAAAATAATCCAAATATTGAGAAATAAAATTATATCTCTAGTAAACAAATAAATACTTAGCGTATATATTTTTTATAAATAAATATTTAGTTCTATATTATAATATAGATAGACAAATCAAATAATTTTTTTAAAATTTTTTCACACAAAAATATTTCTCAACATATGTTTCTTTTAAAAAGTTAGAGTGATGGACTGGTTTTGAGTGCATTTTTGTAAACAAGCAATTCTTTTAGAAATTGTGCAATGCTTTAATACATCATACCAAACAATGGATAACAAATATGTCAGCATAACTAATACCAGCATAACTAATGCAAGCATAACTAATACCAGCATTACTAATACACCCTATTCAGCATTATTTTTATGCACCCAACCAAAACGACCCTTTAGTGTAAATGCGTATGTGTATGGTGTTGAAATGATGACTAGTTGCTATCAAAATTCCATAACTATGCTGACTATGACTAATTGAAAAGAACTTGAAACAGGACATTCCTTTTGTAATACTTCATAATCTATTTAGGGATGATTTAGTAGAGTGTATAAGAGCAGTATTGAATAGAGTGCGTTAGTAATAATGAGATTAGTTCTTATCGACAGTTTTATTTGTGTATTAAAAATTACATGTATTTTAAAAATTATTTGTTTATAAAAACACCCTCCATATTATTAGAAAAAAATTTTGAAAGGGCAGTTCTGTCTTTATATATGCTTATCTATATATTAAAAATCATGGTATTACTAATGTCATGGTTTGGTATGTATAAAAATATATTAAAAAATACTACTAAACAGTGATTTAGCAATACCAAAGTTAATACATATATTATTTTTTCTAATATATCATATCAAACGACCCCTTAATGCTTTGAAAAATATGCATAGAAAGGGCAAAATTAGGAGTCATTTTCACATTAAAGTTTTCTCTGATTTCATTAAAAGCTGCACCAATATGAATGAGAGAATGGTTATTTTTGTGTCTATTTGAGGCTTATCTAGTGTATCTCACCATAACTTGTGGTCTAAATCAGTGCTTTAATTAAACAATAAACATGAAATTTAGAACAAAGAATACTTTTAACAATAAAAGAATATCTTTGTCATTTGATTAATCATTAGTAGTAATTCTAAAAAAACAAATATGTACTAAGGGTCAATATAAGTAATATATATATATACATATACATACTCACTTTCCGACAAACTTTTTTTTGTTTTTTAGGATCCGATAACTTATGCAGGACCGAACTTTCCACTGGACCGGTTGCTACCAATACAAAATGTCCAAACTGTACCAAAACTTGGACTTTTTGTGGAGAGGGCTAATTACACTTTTTTTCATGCGTTCGAGCCGTCAAAGTAGTTATTAATGTAGGCTACATCACATCCTTTGGGTTATGACCCTTCCACGGACATTGCAGCATGAACGTGGGATGTCATGTGCACCGAGTTGCCAAGTATATTTTTATGATTGAATCAAAAGGTAGAGATGCATCCTCTATGTGTGGGAATTTTTTGCTTTTTTTGCTTAAGATCTTGTTTGTAAACTTTGACAATTTCTTGTGCAATTCTAATAGCATCAGCAGAAGCACCAGCTAGCCCTCTCCTTGTGAAACCAACTGCATATAGTCCAGATTTTCCTTTCCAACTATTTGGAAATGGTGATTTTGGGAATCCATTATTGGAAAAAAATTCACTTTCCTGTACAAAACATAACAAAACAACATTAGTCCACTATTCAATAATATTCCATAAAATTTCTTTTTTTTCTTTCCAAATTTGACATATGTACGTGCATGGTTGTCTAACCTTAACTGTACTCGACGGGTTCTCAAACAGACACCACAACTCGATCTTATTGATGAAAAGTTGTGTTTTGACCGAGCTAAGGTGTCTGTCTGACAACCCCTCGAGTTAAAGGGCCCGCACTAGAAATCCGTACAAGTACGAACGTTAATTTAGGTATTAAACCAAATTTAAATAAAATCCAAAAATTTGATAAGAACATTTTCTCACCTGTAGCCAATAAGGGACATTGCTGCAATAACCAGTAGCCAAAACAACAGAATCAATTTCAAGTTTTTCACCATTGACAAGTTCAACAGTGCCACATGAAAACCTCTTGATTCCAGGGACAACATTAATTTTTCTTGATCTAATTTTTTCCAATGTACCAATGTCCAAAACAGGAGTTTTCCCTTGTGTATTCTTTAGTTCCAAAGGACCAATTGATGGCCTTTTTAGTCCAAATTTCTCAATATTTCCAAGATTAAACCATGTCAAAATGAGAATAATTTTATCAACTAGCCAAAGTGGTAGCCATTTCATCATAAACATAGCTAGCTCAAATGTTGATTTTCCAAAGATTTCTCTTGGTAAAACATGAACCTGAAAACAAAGCGAAACTCCATTAGAACCAAACTTTGTAGTTTCTTTTTAGCTTTATATGCTGATAGTATAAAGAATTTTTACACTCGTAATATATTTTAACTCGATGTAGCAGATAACCTGCCTTATTTTAATATTACTAACCTTAATTTTTATTAACAACCACTTGTAATTATCTTTAGTGTGACCTGATATATATCAGGTCAGCTGAAAGATAGTTACAAGTAACTGTCCATTAAAAGTAAGATTAGTACCTTGATATGATATTCTTTATACTGTCAGTGTATATTTTGATTACTTACCGAGCTACGACAAACCATTGATGGTTGAGCATTATGGTTGCAAAGATCAAGAGAAATTTCCATGCCAGAATTTCCACATCCAACAACAAGAACTTTCTTCCCAAAAAACTTCTCACCAGACTTATAATCACAAGCATGAATCACTTCACCTCCAAATTCTTTTAAACCTTCAATATTAGGCACAACTTTCTCAGCATTTTCTCCTGTAGCCACAACAAGCCACTGGCAAATATATTCAACTTCTAAACCATTTGGAGAAACAGTTTTCACCTTCCACAATTTGCAAGATTGATCATATTTTGCAAATTTAACACACTCATTGAATCTTGGATTGATGTTAAATTTTCTAGCATATGATTCAAGATATTCAATGAATTGTTTCTTTGTGGGGTATTCAGGGTAGTGTTGTGGAAATGGGAATTTGGGTAATTGACAGAATTGTTTAGGGAGGTGTAGTTTTAGTCTATCATAAGTTTTTTTCTGCCATAATGATGCAATACAATCAGATTTTTCCAAGATAATACAAGGAATTCCTTGTTCTTTTAAACATGCACCCACAGCTAGTCCTGATGGACCTGCGCCTACAATAACAGGGCCATTTACCCATACACATTTACTAGAAAAAAAATCTTGATCATTGAAGTTAACCATGTTTGTTGATCTATTGTGAAAAACTCAACGACTAACTTTGGAAGCAGAACACGAACCTATTTTCGCTATTCTTGGTTTTTTATTATTCAATGGTGGAGTGAAAGAGTTGACGACTGACTTTGAAAGCAGAACACGAACCTATTTCCGCTATTCTTGATTTTTATTGAGCAATGGTAGTGTGTGAAGATATTGAAAGAAGAGAAAGTTGGTTTTTTGAAAGTTTGTATTTGAAATTGGGAACTAAGAAGGTGTTTAAATAGAAGTGTATGTAGTGAGATATATGAAAGGGGAATGTGATAGAAGGTGAGAATTTAATGGCTTTCAAGGGGTCATTCTCAAATATAATCATAAGCTAGATTTTGCCAACTATTATTTTATTTGAATAACTAATTGAAAAATAAGGTTCACACTCAAAGGTAACTACATTTTTATATTAGAGGTTGGGCCGGACCTAGAGTTTCGGGTGCAGGTTCGATCGAACTCAGTAATTTTGGTTCAAACTCTGTATTTGTTTTTAAAAATTTAGAAGGAATAGAATCTCAAATCATTTAGCTTCAAATCTTGGCTTCGCCTCATATTTCTCTTATTCTCTTTTTTACACTTTTTTCCCCAGTTTTGGATGATTTTATTGAAGAATTCAAAAAAAATCTTTAGAAGGTCAAACTAGCTAGCATTGAAGGAAGCTGGCTGGGATATAGCGAGGATGTTCATGTGTATAAATTGGGGTTTTTTTAATTAAATCGGATTAACTTATATACACTGATGGTATCTAAATAACTTTTATACTGTCATTATTTTAACCGATTATATCAAGTTATTGACTTGTCTTTTCTTATGTTACATGCACTATTTTATAGGTAATTAGTTGTACTTATAATTGACAATTACTTGCATAGTCGGATGCAAAATTTAAATTTTATGGGTTTAAATTTATTATATTTTTAAAGTTACTTATGGGTTCAAATCTACTTTATGTTATACTTGTAGTAAATGTTTACACATAAATTTATGTTCCACACTGAAAGTACTGGACTCAAATAAATCCGCTATCAAAGGGTTGGATCCGCCCCTAATTACTTATAATTATCTTTTAAATAATTTGATATTTTTAAAATAACAATAAATTTGTTGGTGTTACAAAATTATTTACTGTCAGTACACAAAAATTAAATTTTCTATTCGAGTCCCCACACTATAAGATAGGGGGCTAGCCTAAAATGTCCTTGGGGGTACTCATAATTTGACTGTTATGTGCTAAGGTCGTTTTAGCCACAAAAATGCCCATTCCTGCCAGCTGATCAACCCATGGTTTACACCACGTTATTGATGCCATGTAGATTGACCCCACTTTATTTCTTTATCCACTCTACTTCTTGGAATTTGCCTAAAACAAGAAATTCAAAAATAGCCAGAGTTATAAGTGGTCATTCTAAAATAGCCAACAGTTTCAAAGTAATTAAAATTTAGCCATTTTTCATGTAAAGATAAATCTGAACAAAAACACTGTTCAAAATCCGGAAAATACTCCAACATAATATACTGGAATTTCAGTATAACATGCTAGAACTCCAGTATAATATACTGGAGTTCCAGCATAAGTATACTGGAACTCCTTGCTGGAACTCCAGCAAAGTATCCTGGAGTTCCAGCAAAGTATCCTGGAACTCCAATATATTATACTGGAAAAATATACTGGACTTCTAGCATATTATACTGGAGTTCCAGTATAATATACCGATCCAGCATAATATGGTGGAAGTTCATACACAGGTGCACCGATCTCCAGTATAGTATGCTTGAACTTTCCGCGTTGCAGCAAAATAGTGGCTATTTTTCAATGACTTTGCAAATGCTGGCTATTTTTCAATGACCAGTCCGAAAACTGGCTAGCTTGTGCTATTTTTACACAAAGATCTCTTACCATAGGTAAAAGGGATTTAATAGAATTTTCACGTCCTCAATTAAAGGTCTCGAATTTGAACTCAAAAAATATATTAATCCCAGTATAAAGAACTTTTACTAATCCTAGATGAATTGCCTTATTTTAAGATTATTAATCCCACTTTATATGGATAATTACATGTTATTATCATTTGTGAGAACTAATATATGAGGTTCGCCGAAAGGTAACTACAAGTAAATGTCTTTAAAAAGTAAGATTAGCAACTTGAAAAATAATGCATTAACGGATTAAAGTATAGTATAATGTAGAAATTCTTTACACCGTTAGTATATATAAATTAAAATGATAAATCAACATGCATATCTCACATGTTATATATGACTAAACTGCATCGTTACAACTTAAGGGGTTTGAGCGGATCATGTATACACCTCTTCGACAAAAAATTACATTGTATTACTAGATAAATTTTTCTGTTTTATATATATTTATTATACGTTGATATTTTTTAATATTTTGACACCCCTTGGTGCAACTTCTAGCTCCGCCACTGCCCGTAGCTAGTTGATCAATTGCCCCGTTCAGCTTCATCAAATACCTGCATTCATTTAAATAGAGGAATAATTTCTTTTTCTACACCATATGCATGATGGGCGGATCTAGCCTTAAGCTTATGGGTTCTAGTGAATCCAGTAGTTTTTGTTTAAATTACATATTTGTATTAAAGAATTTAGCAAATATCTATAGATAACTGTTAATCCAGTTATTATTATATTTGTAACTCGAAATCATCGTAAAAAACCATCAACTTTAAATCATTGTAGGATCCACCTCTGATATAAACACCCCCCCCCCCCTCCCCCAAACCAATTGGCCCTCTCGAGTGCAAATTCATTGGAAAGAAGAGGGGAGCATGTGCATGAGGCCTTGGATTTATGGAGCTTCTCTGCTTTACATGAAAGGATTGGGAGCTAGGGTTTTGACCTTTCTTGTAATGTTTATTAAACATTACAAATACTAAGGGCTTTGGAATTGACAATACCCAGGGACCAGGGGCGGAGTCACAGTATCGGTTACGAATTCAGCCGAACTCAGCAGCTTTAGTTCAAACTTTATATTTATCTTTTAAAAATTCATTAATTATGTAAAAATATTAATTTAAAACCCAATAACTTAAACGGATTAGAATCCCGAACCCGTAAGCTTGAAAGCTTCGCCTTTGCCAGGGACAGAGCTAGAGTATTAGTTGCCAGTTCGGACGATCCGAGTCATTTTTACTTAGATTTTGTATTTGTATTATGAAATCCATTACATAAGTAAAATATTTAATTACAAAATCAGTAACTTACTTAGACGAGCTATTGATATGATGATAAGTATAGAATCCATAAACTTCAAATTCTGGCTCCACCCCTAACCGTACCATCGGTGTTCCAACTCTGATCTAGATAGTAGCCAAACCCTAAAAGCCAAAAAAATGATAAAATAAACAAATACCTCCAAGGAATTATAGAAGATCGAAAAGAAGATTGAGATGAAATTATAGTGATATTTATGCACGATTTGGTGGGGATATGTGTGTGTTTGTTTATTCCCATTCTTCCCCACCAGCTTTGGCCAGCTTGTTAGCTGATTATGCAAGGCCAGGGTTACTACTTTAGGCTCTCCATTTGAATTTCTAGGGTCAATAAATTATTTAATGCTATTAAATATTTTGAATTCTTAATTAATGTAACTTATAATACTTTTTATGTAATTTTCAAATATATAAATTTTAATTTGAAAAACTTAAAAATTCTATATTCAAATATACAGTTAAAATTAAATCATTTAAATCTTGAAAAATATAAAGTGTCACATAAATTGAAACGGATGAAGTATTAATTTCTCTTCTTTTCAAAAAACAACAATAAATAAACGTTTCATAGTACATAAATAAATAAAGAGAGAGTAATAATTATATTAATGAATAAAGGAATTATTAATAATTAAATAGGAAAAAGTTTGGTTTTGATGAAATTTGCAATGAGTTTGTTCACGCGTATAGTAAAGTTAGGAGAACGATAAAATTCATAATAAGCATATCACTAGCAAGTCATAGGAACATGTGCAGTGGCCCTTTTTCTCTTTTTATTTATTAAATTATCAGACACACAGAGTCAGAAATTTATACATAGTTAATGAATTTTCTAATTGAAAGGAATGTCTTCTATATGGCTCTTGTAATCTTAGGTTTTATAACCCGCTAGACTAGCTAAGAAAGGTATTCTATCTTCTTTTTTTTTTTTGTTCGGTTCTGAATTTCGATTAAGAATGGCGATAATATACGTTTTACATGGTGGTCAAGTGAATAGCAGCCAAAGCAAAAGATTTACAGATACAGAATCTAAGCAAAAGCTACTGAATTCGACAAACCCGTCCCCGTACATGCTTCCTTGAAGCTTAGCTGCCAACTTTGATATTCTTCACTCCGCAGAAAGTTGAAATAATAATTAATCATAGCTAAAACTTTTGAAGTGCCACTTGATCATAGTACGTTTACTATTTAAAGTATTGCTTTATTTGGACTTTTGTACAACATACATTCCCTCAATAACTGTAAAAGTTTCTATATATGTATATTTCCTCTTGTAGTCTTCTTGGTGACTTGGTGTGAAGGTTCTAAGTAAGAGACACTCACTCAGTTAGAGTCGAGGGCTGAGCTAGTAGCTTGGTTACGGGTTCAGGTGAATTCAATAATTTTTTTAAAAAAAAATCATTAAATATATATATAAATATTAAAGTTAGAACCTAATTATTAATATTTAAATCCGTCTTTCTAAAATCAAGAATAAATAAAGTTAAAACTCTAATTTCACCTCTGCATAGGGTGAAGATAAGATTAACTTTTAAATTATACGCCGAAAAACAAGTGGCAAATGTATTTTAGTCTAGTAGCGTTGGACATTAGATTTAATAGAATTAAGTATCAAATATTTTTCTTAAAAGAATTTAAAATCAGATAATATATGAAAGTAAATACTTAGGCTCGTGTAAAATTATTAAAAAGCATACTTATTTTTCTGCTCTTTGACTGTGCTGATGAGGAAATTAGAATCATTTAGAATTTAAAACTGATGGAAAGAATTGTTAAGCTTCCAATAATGTGTTGTCATATTTTAATCAGTAGAAGCTCCACTTGCACCACATAATCACTTTAATTTCCTAATTAATTATTTTTAGTCTTATTTTTTTCCTAATTAATTATTTATACCCTACAAATCAAGGTCTTCCCCCATTGATCTTACAACCTTTCTCAGGTCAATCCCTAACCA